TAGACTTCTCCTGAAGGTGGGTCCTAGAAACCACCCCCACTGTGTCTCTGCCTTCACCTTTCTATGGCAAGCTACACTGAGACCTGTGCGAGTCTTGAGATGCAGCCACCGCTCCTGGATCTGTTAAGTAACTAGCTTAGGGACAGGGTGTTGTCCCACTCATACCTGCAAAGACCCCCCTTTTCAGCACAGGTGAAATCTACCTAGCCTCCACCCTAGGTACCTCCACAGGTGGGCCTAACTCAGCCAATGAGGTCAACCACCATCTTCAACCACACCTACCCAGCCCTAGGTTTGAAATATCCTGGCTGAGGGAATGCCTAGCTCTCTTTTTCACTCTGGTCTCCTGGCAGGTCGGAAGGTGGGGGCACACAGGCGCCACCTGGGAGCGCCCCTGATAGCTCACTCCGGGCTTGCTCTGGGGCCCACATGGTTGGCCTCCAGGGATTCCCCAGTCCCATACATGTGGGTGTTCTTTTCCATGTGGTTTTCCGTGCCCCATTGTGAACCCCAGCGCGGCTTCCATGCTTTCCAGAAATAGCGTGTACCCTTTTGAGACTGTAGAACCTGAAACTTTTCCATTCCTTCATAAACACTCACTTGGATTACAAAACACGGTGAATTCCTTCAGTGTGGGAAACAAAGAACCTAGGTATAACCTACTCCAGAAACCAAACAGTCCCACACACAACTCTGCACCTCCGGCCGGCCAGGACCTTCCGGCATTCTGCATCGTCGCATGGCTCTGAAGAGGGACTTATGGACTAGTATTGGACTTAGGCACTTGAGTTACACTGAGCTGGGATGCCTCATTGATGCACGATTACTTCTTGATACAAAGCTCTTTCTTATACATATATGAGTGTCTCTGGATTCGTTTCTCTGGTCAACCTGTCCTAACTCAGAACAAACAACACTTTGGGGTTATTTTGATCTAAGTTAAGTTTAATGAACACTAAGTTAGATAGTCAAGAATTCTAGATTTACAGTGTCTCAGTGGGTGCCTATTTTGAGGTCTCTAAAGCACATCAGGGCAGTAAAATTGCTTCCTTGCTGGGCACGATATCTAAATTAACTAAAGAGAATAAAGAATTACAATGCCTAATTTCAGGTTCCATCCCTTCTGCTCCCCTGCCAGCTGTCACCTCTTTATTCCCTTTTTGCTTTTACCACCCCCCTTTCCCTAAAAAAACAAAACAAAACAAAAACCAGCAAATAAACCCATTGGCTGAAATGCCCTTTAAAATTAGCCCAAACAGTGATTCCCTCATATCACTTTTGCCCCATGCATATGGCCATGATGAAGTAACATTGTGAAATATTTTTCTGTACACTGTGACCTCTAAACATTTTCCAAATAATTTAAAATTCTTGTTTAAGCTTGGGTTCCCAGACTTATATCTTTTCTTATTCGCATAATTGCTAGCCCAGATGAAGCCCAATTATGACTGGAACAGACACCATAGAAAGACCCCAAAGACAGTGTAGCCTTAACTCTTGATAAAACAGTCGAGTTGTGAGAAGACTGCGAAGCCATGAATTTAAAAATATTTCTATAGGTTATTATAAAAACCTTTCCTCCACTAAGTGATTGTACTAAACTTCTCCCTTATAGACAAAATAAATATGAAGCTACTTATGATTATCAGACTGAGCTCCTCTGGAAATTTCTGAGCAGTCTGCTCTCCCATTCAGTGCTGTTTCCCGAGCTGGCCTGAAATGTGAGATCTCGGTCTTAGGAAAGCTTCCACCTGGAACTAGGCAACTCC